CGTAATGAAGCTCCGAATGATCAACCTCTGATGCCTCCTCCTTCTAGGGTTCTGTCCAGTACTGAGGCTCCAAATGATCCCCCTCCGGTGCCTTCTCTTTCTGGGGCTCTACCGACTGCTGAGACTTCTCCTAAGCAACCTTTGTGAAGGCTCCGTCTTGTGTGTTTATTTTGACTCATGTATATGTACATATTTGTAGCTGATCGGGGATATCAATAAATAAGCTTTCCTTCATTTCAACGTATTGTGTTAAATACACCAAAGCCTTCTTCGCTAAGTTCTTTGAATTTTCTTTTTGTTGAAGCTTGTATGTTGAAGCTTTCTGAGTGGAGCATGTAGGTTGGGGTAGTGTTCCCTTAATTTCCCGAGTGAGGAAAACTTCTCGATTGGAGACTTGGAAAATCCAAGTCACTGAGTGGGATCGGCTATATGAATCTTAGAACGCCATTGTGCTCGATCCTGTGTCATGTCCTCCGTTAGATCCAAGTACTCTAAGTCTTTTCTTAGAGTCTCTTCCAAAGTTTTCCTAGGTCTTCCTCTACCCCTTCGGCCCTGAACCTCTGTCCCATAGTCGCATCTTCTAATCGGAGCGTCAGTAGGCCTTCTTTGCACATGTCCAAACCACCGTAACCGATTTTCTCTCATCTTTCCTTCAATTTCGGCTACTCCTACTTTACCCCGGATATCCTCATTCCTAATCTTATCCTTTCTCGTGTGCCCACACATCCAACGAAGCATCCTCATCTCCGCTACACCCATTTTGTGTACGTGTTGATGTTTCACCGCCCAACATTCTGTGCCATACAGCATCGCCGGCCTTATTGCCGTCCTATAAAATTTTCCCTTGAGCTTCAATGGCATACGGCGGTCACACAACACACCGGATGCACTCTTCCACTTCATCCATCCAGCTTGTATTCTATGGTTGAGATCTCCATCTAATTCTCCGTTCTTTTGCAAGATAGATCCTAGGTAACGAAAACGGTCGCTTTTTGGTATTTCTTGATCTCCGATCCTCACCCCTAACTCGTTTTGGCCTCCATTTGCACTGAACTTGCACTCCATATATTCTGTCTTTGATCGGCTTAGGCGAAGACCTTTAGATTCCAACACTTCTCTCCAAAGGTTAAGCTTTGCATTTACCCCTTCCTGAGTTTCATCTATCAACACTATATCGTCTGCGAAAAGCATACACCAAGGAATATCATCTTGAATATGTCCTGTTAACTCATCCATTACCAACGCAAAAAGGTAAGGACTTAAGGATGAGCCTTGATGTAATCCTACAGTTATGGGGAAGCTTTCGGTTTGTCCTTCATGAGTTCTTACGGCAGTCTTTGCTCCTTCATACATATCCTTTATAGCTTGGATATATGCTACTCGTACTCCTTTCTTCTCTAAAATCCTCCAAAAGAATGTCTCTTGGGACCCTATCATACGCTTTTTCCAAATCTATAAAGACCATGTGTAAATCCTTTTTCCCATCTCTATATCTTTCCATCAATCTTCGTAAGAGATAGATTGCCTCCATGGTTGAGCGCCCCTGGCATGAACCCGAATTGGTTGTCCGAAACCCGTGTCTCTTGCCTCAATCTATGCTCAATGACTCTCTCCCAGAGCTTCATTGTATGACTCATTAGCTTAATACCCCTATAGTTCATGCAATTTTGTACGTCGCCCTTGTTCTTGTAGATAGGCACCAAAGTGCTCGTTCGCCACTCATTTGGCATCTTCTTCGTTTTCAAAATCCTATTGAAAAGGTCAGTGAGCCATGTTATACCTGTCTCTCCCAAAAGTTTCCACACTTCGATTGGTATATTGTCTGGGCCTATTGCTTTTTTATGCTTCATCTTCTTCAAAGCTACAACCACTTCTTCCTTCCGGATTCGACGATAAAAAGAGTAGTTTCTACACTCTTCTGAGTTACTCAACTCCCCTAAAGAATCGCTCATTTCATGTCCTTCATTGAAAAGATTATGAAAATAACCTCTCCATCTGTCTTTAACCGCGTTCTCTGTAGCAAGAACCTTTCCATCCTCATCCTTGATGCACCTCACTTGGTTTAGATCCCTTGTCTTCTTTTCCCTTGCTCTAGATAGTTTATAGATATCCAACTCTCCTTCTTTGGTATCTAGTCGTTTATACATATCGTCGTAGGCCGCTAACTTAGCTTCTCTGACAGCTTTTTTCGCCTCTTGCTTCGCTTTTCTATACTTTTCACCATTTTCATCGGTCCTCTCCTTGTATAAGGCTTTACAACATTCCTTCTTAGCCTTCACCTTTGTTTGTACCTCCTCATTCCACCACCAAGATTCCTTTTGGTGTGGGGCAAAGCCCTTGGACTCTCATAATACCTCTTTTGCTACTTTTCGGATACAACTAGCCATGGAATCCCACATTTGGCTAGCTTCCCCCTCTCTATCCCACACACATTGGGTGATTACCTTCTCTTTGAAAATGACTTGTTTTTCTTCTTTTAGATTCCACCATCTAGTCCTTGGGCACTTCCAAGTCTTGTTCTTTTGTCTTACTCTTTTGATATGTACATCCATCACCAACAAGCGATGTTGATTAGCCACGCTCTCTCCTGGTATAACTTTGCAATCCTTACAAGTTATACGATCCCCTTTCCTCATTAGAAGAAAATCTATTTGTGTTTTTGACGACCCACTCTTGTAGGTGATCACATGTTCTTCTCTCTTCTTAAAGAAGGTGTTGGCTAAGAAGAGATCATATGCCATTGCAAAATCCAAGATAGCTTCCCCATCCTCGTTTCTCTCCCCAAAACCATGGCCACCATGAAAACCTCCATAGTTGCCTGTCTCCCTGCCCACGTGTCCATTTAAATCTCCTCCTATAAATAACTTCTCCGTCTGAGCAATTCCTTGCACCAAGTCTCCAAGATCTTCCCAAAATTGCTCATTCGAACTCGTATCCAACCCTACTTGAGGTGCGTACGCACTAATCACATTGATAAGTTCTTGTCCTATTACAATCTTGATTGCCATGATTCTATCTCCTACCCTCTTGACATCTACAACATCTTGTACCAAGGTCTTGTCCACGATGATGCCAACACCGTTTCTCGTTCTATTTGTGCCCGAATACCAAAGTTTAAACCTTGAGTTTTCTAGATCATTTGCCTTACTACCAACCCACTTAGTTTCTTGTAGGCACATAATATTTATCCTTCTCCTCACCATAACTTCCACTATTTCCATAGATTTTCCCGTTAAGGTTCCTATATTCCACGTTCCTAAACGCATTTTGCTCTCTTGAACTCTACCCTTCTGTCCTAGCTTCTTCACCCTCCCCCGTCTAATAGGATCAAAGTACTTCTTTTGTGTGTCCCGGGTAAAATTGATAGGAGCATATGCTCCCAAACAACTTTGAGTTGAGTCGTTCGAAAAGAAGTTTCTATGGCCCCCTTGCTCATTTAACACTGCAAAACATCAACAGAAGCAGAAGCAGAAGCACTCATACCTTTTAAGAGAGAGACGGAGATGAAGAAGTTGAGGAAAGAGAGTTGGGGAGAGAGGGGGGGGGGGGGGAAGAGGAGTGAAAAGAGTACAGGAGGAGTGTGTGTGTGTTGCCGTGAAGTGTGGTGTAATCTTCCTCCTCGAAGGAGCTCTAGTTTTCGAAAAGTACTTTTTTTTTTTTGAACTTCAAAGTCGAAATTAAAATTCTAAAGTACCATATCAGAAACATAAACCATAATCCATAACAACCACCGTTCCAAGTCTAAATCAAAATTATTTAAACTTAACCATCTGTTTCAGAAACGAACATATTAAACGGTGCGTTTAACTCAGTCGCCGCCGGCCTTCTGGTAAACATAGGTGAGACCACACTTACCACAGTAGTGCCTGTCAAAATGGTTGGCCATGAAAGTCCCGGCGCCGCACTCAGCGTTGGGGCACTCCTTCCTCAGCCTCTGAACCTTCCCGGAATCGTCGACCTTGTAGAACTGGAGGACGGCGAGCTTCACCTTCTTGTGCTTGTGCTTGATCTTCTTGGGCTTGGTGTAGGTCTTCTTCTTACGCTTCTTAGCGCCACCGCGGAGGCGGAGCACCAGGTGCAGAGTGGACTCCTTCTGGATGTTGTAGTCGGCGAGGGTACGGCCGTCCTCCAGCTGCTTGCCGGCGAAGATGAGGCGCTGCTGGTCCGGCGGGATGCCCTCCTTGTCCTGGATCTTGGCCTTCACATTGTCGATGGTGTCGGAAGACTCAACCTCTAGGGTTATCGTCTTCCCCGTTAGGGTTTTCACGAAGATCTGCATCTTTTGCTCTCCGCACAAGACACAGAGAGACTGGGGGAGATTCGGCTAGGGTCTTCAACTCTCTCTCCAAATGCGCGCTTTGTAGTTGTAACCGACAATTTCACGGCTTCCCCCGAACTCACTTCTGCTAGCGTTGGTGAGGGCCGGAGGCTAAGGGTCAGGGCTGCACTTCGAAACGGAGGAACTGAAATGAAATGTGATCTGACCTAAAAAAGAAATCAACGGCACAGATTAAATGCAAAACAATCAACGGTTGAAATAATTCTCTTATAATTAAAAAATTATATATATATATATATTTTTTTTTTCGGTTCGGTATGGGAATACCGAAAAAATGAAATGCAATACCGAATCCCATACCGAAACTTTCGGTTTGGTTTGGGATTACATCCCGAAAATTTCGGGAATTTTGGTTTGGGATTTTTTTGGTTTGGGATCGGGATTTTTTTGGTTTGGTTTGGGATTTTTGGGATTTTTTTCCAGCCCTAGTATTTTCTAGCAAAAAATTTTTGAATAAATTGTGCGTAAACATAACCATTAAGTTGGAAATTAACCGTTTATAATGATTGTGGAGGGAGAAGAATAGGCCCAAATGAAAGTTTGAAGAGGAAACCAGTAGTTGCTCTAAGTTCGGAGAAAAAATTGGCGAAATAATCCAAAAGGTAAACGCTTTACCCAACAAATTCTTTCCTTCTTAACGAAGAAATTAAAACATGCCCTATGTCAAGACTATTAGGTTTTGAAAAATAGGAGTAGGAACAAGAAAAAGAAAGACTTACTATGCTCCATTTACACGTACAATCAGGTCCATGAAATTAGAGTTCACAGGAATAATAAAGCAATAAAAATTACACATGTTTATTGTTACAAAAAGCAATATCATGATGAAACCCTAGGCTGGATTAGTCATAGTGTCAAATGTGTTTTTCCTGACCAAGAGGCAAGTGATGCTGGATGGCTGGGTGTGTGTATTGTTGAGGGTGCACATCACAAAATCCGGTCGGTACAGCGCAAGCGTTAACCGGTCCTCCCCCAAAACCAAGCCGGTTGCGTCAAGCAGGACATGCCATGAGTTCCTATGTGCCTCCGAGATCCAATGCATTGAGTATTTAGTCCCATTGACAGTGGCAGGATAGGAAAACATTCCTTTGGGACTATACTTGCACTTTCTCCTAAAGTACTGGCTAAGTTGTGACCCTTTTATCCTCAAATCCAACCAAGTTTCTGGTGCTGAAATAACCCTAGATTCTTTGGTACTTGCAAAGTCCCTTATGGGATCAGTCTCCTTTCCCACAATGGTCATATAGTAATTTCCTCTGAAGAAAGGGTAGCTCTCACCAATCATCACCATTGCATCTTTGTAATTTGACATGAAAATGACTAAATAGTCCTCCTCTTGCAACCCACATTGCTTCAATGCCCTATTCCTTGCTTGGACCTCAGGAATGGATACAAAGTTACCCTGGAACGAGGATTTCTTGGTCAGGATGTCGAGAAGTCTTGAGGGTTCCATCTTAGTCCTGTCCAAGTCGGAGTGAGTGCTGCTGAATGGGGACAACTCCTTTGCTGTCACACTCTTGGGTAACTTGAGCTTATCATAGGGTGGAGTTCCTGAGGATTCTTTGTTGATCAAAAGATTATCGATGTATAGTTTTTCGACATCTTCCACTAGTCCATTGCAGTATTCTGGGTACTTTGCGAAGATGTATTGCTGAACATAGAGCATCTCACTTGGTGTGATTGGACCTGACCATCTCAGATCAAGGCCTCTGAGTGAGGATATGGCTTCTGCTATCAAGTGAGCAGGAAACATGGTGATTGCCTTCTGTGATTCAAACAAGTATGGCGGAACTCAGTTAACACGTAAATTAGTAGTAGTACCACATGATGATGTGACCGTCACGATTAAAAAAGGAAAAAAGTAGGGGATAGAATTCACTAACCTTAACTATCATGCTGCTTGGTCTTCCATCTTGAGTTCTTGAGTTTGGTGAAGAACCTGAAGCCAGTCCTTGGAGTTCACCTCTTACTATATCCTAAAGAGCAAAGAATTGGAAATTTACAGCTCACATTTAGCAACAATATTTTTCCTTATTCTAATTATCTCAACTACGGGGAGAACAATTTGAACTTGAGTGCAGAGAGAGAGCATAATGCTCTAGCCAATTTCACTATGCCAAGATATGTCAACGGAAAGTGATTTCCAAACACTCATTTTCTCTTCATGCACACCCTATTTATCTCTGGCCTTTGGATTGAATAACCAAAGAGAACCAAGCGACTGAAATTAACGGGCTGTGCACATGGAGAGAATGAATGAACGTAAATCACTTCCTTATGCCAATTAGGAGCAGCTTTGAAGTAATAATACAGTTACAGAGAAAGGTTTATGGAAATATATACACACACACACACGTATATATGTACCTTGAGTTTGCGATTCATGGTGTCTTTTTCTTGTTTGTTTCTTCCCATGTTGCTTCTCACTCCTTCAGAAGCAGAACATAGAAAATTGGGAGAGGAAACAGAAATGTCGAACCAGAAAGGCGGTCGTGAAGACTTGAGACTAGTCTTTTGTTATATGAAGATTATATGCTGCAGGGTGGGGTATCAAATTGAAAGATTAAAATAAAACCATATATCTTCAAGACAAAGAGAGCAATGCCAGCAAGTGATGAAAGCAATACCCACACACAGCATTTAGGTAGGATATCAATCATAGTTTATTCAATTATATATTCACCTTGATTAGCTCAGCTAACAATAATTATTAAGGTTAATTAACCCTTGTGTACAATCTTGATTTCTAGAGGTTTATGGTAGGTTTACATGGAATATGTATTTAAATTATTCAAATTCCTGACTTTCTCAATTTTTGCTTACACACACATGATCACATTACAATTAGTAATTTAATATTTGAAAAATCATAAATTACATTGACTATGTGAATTAAGTGATCTTGTTCCATTTTCTTCTCCCTTATTCTTAACTTCCCGAATTCATTACTTTTTCCTTTACTGCCACATGCAGAATAAAAAAGTATACGAGTTTCACATTACATTAATCTATAATCTAATACCTAAAAAACCAAAAATTACATTGATAAAATAGGTGACCATGTACCATTTCATTCTTATTCCTAACTTTTCAGATTTATTATTTCTCCGTTTCAAGTAAGCAATCATTATCAAATTTACTTGTAAATGGGTAACATAATGCTTGGTTGAGTCAAACCAAAAAATTAACAAAGTAGGTATGGTTCAAGTTTTGAATTTTAAACATGTGTCACCTTGAGTTTGTATATTTTTTCTACCGAAATGCCTGCGTGACTGCGTCGATCGATCTAAGTTCCAAAAAATAAGGATATAAAAAAGTTGGAGACGATGAAATGGCAACAAGTAGCAGTAAATTAATAAAGGTACCAAGTATTAGGTCATCAAAGATTAATTAAATTGTTGGGAGAGATGGCGAGTCGTTGAGGAGGGCATGCATTCAGGGATCTTTCTAAAATTGATAGGGACTCGTAAAATCATGCGTTAATTTATTTTAAAGCATTATGTTTTTTTCTCTGCACTCAAGTTTGAATGTCACTTTTTGTAGTTTAGATATATAAAGAAAAATATTGTTTCCCCAAAGCATGGATTAATTTACATGCCTAATGATGTGGGCTTAAGTATGATTATCAATATAATGCTTTAAATTAATCCCAACCATAATTCAAAAGTAGATGTGGTCCTAAACATTCACATCCATGAACTATTACACGCATGCTGCTTGGAATCCAATCACTAGCTAACTTGTGTATAACTGTCGTTCACGATATTTGAACTCAAAATCTCGTTAAACAAAGTGAAACTAAGTGACGTTAGACCGAATTAACATTAGTCGTGTTATCGTTCTTTAAGAATGATACTTAGTGTTGGATTTGTTCGATCACTTTAGCGTTAGCCCCTTCCAACGCTGGTTGATTGCAAAAGGTCAATTGTGTACGAGACGCCGCATGGCAGCGATTTGGTTGCTCCTTTAAGCCAAAGATTGGAAGCAAAACGCTGCATGTGTTTGCAGTACACGAGTGGAATTTTGCTCAACTGATATGTCGGGAGCATCTCCTCTCCAACCAAACACATTATTGCTTTACGAATAATTGGTTTGCATTACTCAAATATGATGAAAATATTTCGTGACCTCAAACAAATTACCCCTAAAAAATTACGACTAAAATCGACTCGTTTCTTATACTTCTAAAACCGACATTAAAGAAAAAAAATAGCAGGAAACTGCTAAGAATCTGGCCTTTCATATAATCAGTAACATATAGTCGAGTAATACAGATTGATGAATGCCTACTTTCTGAATTATACCTAAATACATCCCGAGCGAGTAGATGGATAGATTTTGAACGACTGCTCAGATCGCTAGTATCATGAATTAGCCCAAATCTGAACCAGACTTGAGAAGGGCACTGGGGAGGACGCTAGAAATTGGCACTCTGTACAGATGCACGATAAAAATGGAGTATTCCACTACAAAAAGTATTTCATCCGATCATCTCTTCTCATGGCATTGTATACAGCTTGGACCTGGAAATCACAATACAATTCCACGTCATCAAATTATAATCGTTATCCATTTATTGCCTGAAGATTGTCTGCATAATGGATATAGAGAAATAACATTAGCAAATTCATGGCGAGAGTGCAGGGGAGGGAGGGGAAAACCTGTTCACTTGAAATTACTTGAACGGGTCCAATGTTTACAGATACATATTTTCCCCTTGATGATACCTTCTGCCTCACATGACCCTGCCATAAAAAAGAGCATATAAGCTCCATCTAACTTTTGCATTCATTATTTGTGAGTGAATTGAACTTGTGCACTTGATAGATCAGACATCAGCAACCATATCAACACTCAAATTTTTCATCTTAATTCAAAAGGGGCAACAAAATGGATTGCAGCACAAGGATGGATTGCAGCACAAGGATTGCTGAATTTGCTGTTACATGTTGCACCATCCTACGACCTACCACATAAGCCCTTTGGAGTAAATGAATTTCACTTTTCACCTTATACTAAGTTTAAATTAAAACAAATGTCAAGTCATGATTACTAGCAATTGAGACCAAGCCAAGAAGACAAAAACTCCCAGTTCTTTAAGTGTTATGTTCCTTCCATTCACAATTATCTTATTGGTGAAAAATCCATACAATCGGGCGTTAGGAAAAATAATAATAATTTGGCACCCATTGATCTTAATTTGTCAGGTTCGTATTCCACTCAACCGTCTATACTTCAAAATGCATCCCAATAGATAAGCATTTGGCTATAGCCTAGAGGGAGCAAAGTCCGCAGACCATTTGCTATGCCTGTTTCTGAGCCATCTTAAATCAGCGAGAACACTAAACTATGCTCAAATTCAACTATTAGTCAGTTCCCATATGGTTGGTTCCATGTTTACCCTCAACAAGTTCACATCAAGAGCTAGTTTCAGTTATGAGCACTAAGGGCAAGACGTATACCACATTTTTTTCTAGCCAACAGATCCTCTTTTAATCAATGATTGGCAAAGTACCTACCACACTCAAAAGAGAAGTTGGTTAGTTCCTTTTACGACATATGCAGCCTGCCCAACTCTTTGCACCGCATTTTCAAATTCAAACCTAGTATATGCTCAACATCTTTTCTGGCACATTTCATACTCTTAGCCTCTTATCACTTTCTCACTCCTTTTCAGGAGCTTTGAACTTCCAATAAGATATTTCTCAGTGGCAACTGCATAAACCATGATTAGTTTTCCATCATGATAACCGGTCAAAGCTGCTCCTTGTTTCTCATAAAACTGTCCATCAGTACATCTAAAAATTCCTCAGGCTGTCTACCAGTACATCTTAAAATTCTTGCCCCCAAACTACAGTGACACTTTACTTTGGTTGGAATCATAATGTTCTGTACAAAAATAGAGGGCAGGAGGGGCATGGTAGAATACATCGCTATAAGGTCTCCTCTTGACCCTAATAAATAATAAAATTACCTTAAGCCTACCGATCATAATTTCAAGGACATACACATAAGTCTAAGAAACAACTCCAATGCACCACGTCTCTGCTTATAGTTTAGCATATACTTGACATTGCAATAATATGTCCTCGCATTATTTAAGACAACAAGCACCTCTTTGGCTATCATAATTCACTTGTTTCAGTCTATAAATTTACATACTCAAGAAATCAACTCAGAAATTAGCTGCCAGTTTCCTATTCTATTCATCTCCAATTGAACTACTCAATACACAAGTAATAAAGCACGGGGCTTGTAGCTGAAGTGGTCAAAATCATTTACCCATGCACCCGAGGTCCTAGGTTGGCTTCCCCCCTCCCCCAACATCGCTTGCATAAAAAAATACATTTCATGAACATTGATACACTCAATGAAATACAATGTGCAACAATTTGATCCGAAAGAAACAACAGCCTACTGAACTACACAAGTGTACTTGTACGTCCACATAATGGTTTGATTTCAGCAAGGTACCCATAATGCTTGCAAATACATGCATTAGACCAATTCATAAATATATCTATCAAATAACTGCAAATGATGGGCAGTCACAACAAGGGTTATATACACATATATTGTGATTGTACGTAAGTATGTATACCTCAGGGACCGGTTGTTGAATTACGGATTCGACGGCAACAACCATAGCTTGCACAAAATCATCCCCTCCAGTTCCAATTGCTGTGAACCCTCTAACAGTTGGATACGAATTTACCTTAGATAACACAAATTAACACCATTTTATATACACAACCACGTTGAAAATATTATTCACTTATTCCTAAGCGTTAAAAGTCAGCTGCTGAATCAAAATTAATCAAAAGCAAATCAATGGTTTATCAATACCTTCTGATCCAAGTCGACCCATTCATTCGTAGAATCATCCGCCACCGTGCCTCCGATAACCACATTCGTCGTCTGCCCAACTCTCCCTTCAGTCTTTGAAACCTCTATATCCAATTTCAACACCAAAAACGAGTCAAAAAATACCAAAAATTAATATTATAAGCATATAAATTTCTGAGACTCGGAGGCGAGCGAAACCTGAAATTGCTTTCAAGATGGCCTCTTGCGGCGGGCCCTGGTCGTCCTCCGACAAATCCGACGAGTTCTCGTTGTGGGCGCGGTTGAGGTGAGTCCGTCGCGCGAAGTGGATGTCCCGGGTCCTGAAGTGGCGGCTCAGCCTGGGGGAGGAGAACCCGCGGGTCCTGAACGAGGCGGAGGCGGAGCTCCGAGCGAAATGAACGGGTCGCCACGCTTCTATTAGCAGAGCGGATCGTAGCGCAGTCCTGCACGCCATTTCTGGTCCTTTTTGGATTCCGAGGAGATTGTTTCGTGTTTTCTTTTGTTTTCCTTTCTCTGTCCCAGAAGATAATTTAAGGAGATTCTTTGAAATTGAGAAAGACGAAATTATCCTTTGAAATTGGGTTAGTGAGCAGCATCAGTAAGGGCTTAAAAGTCTTTTCCGTGGAATTTGGAGGGCTATAAGAAATTACCGCCGAAGTGCTGCAACCGCGCGATCAAACCCTAGTGAAACCCCCCTCTCCGACTACCTTGCTCACTCTGTTTCCCGGCCCCGAGTTAACTCATCGCCGCCCGAGGCGACTCGCCGAAATGTACGGATCCGAATCCGGTACGGTCCCGGATGATTCGGAGCGAACCGCTTTCAGACGAGCGGAGAAGAAGTACAAGCTGTACTACGAAGACACTTACAAATCCTCCAAAAAGTAATTCAATTCCCGAACATGTAATTTGACGATTCCGATTCCGACTCCAATTTCGTAAATAATTAAACGTGCAATTTCGTTTGTTTATCAGGAAAAGGAAACCGAAACCGGTGGATTTATCCCAGGTCTTGGATTTCAAGTCAATTCTAGAATCCTACAATCAGAAGGCTGTGCTCCTGCCGGGAATCGTTCCGGTTCAATGCGGTTTTGACGGACCCGTCTTCTCCATAGAAAATCGCCCAGGCAACAGCCTATTCTCTGTCAATGCATTTTCATAATTCCATTATATGCTTTTGATGCACTCAATTTTTTTTTTATTTCTCCTACATTGGATGAATGCTAATGTATTTTAGGGATTTGAATTCATACGCGGTTCGTTAGTAACTAGTACTATAGGGATTTGAATTGACTAATTTCAGTTTATAGACCTGGCGTAGCCAAGTTGACTAGAGCAGTGTTCACCCTAAGTCGCACCAAAGTTCGAATCCCCATTCTAGTAGTTTAGATTACATATAATTAGAATACCGCTTGAACAAAAGAAAATTAGTTATACGGATTTGAATTGGTATCTCCTTTTGGAAACGTTACAGGATTTTATTTCGTTCCTGGAGCACTGAGTGTAGAAGAACAATGCCAATGGATAAGGGAGAGTTTAACCATCTTCCCGCAGCCTCCTAACAGAACAAATCACAATGCATTTTACGGGCCTATTAGTGATTTATTTTCTGCGGCAAAGGAGAGGAAAGTTCTGGTTGCAGAAGGGAGTTCAAATTCTGAATGTAGTTCTGCTGTCAGCAATGGGGATGCTGACAGGTGGAAGTTCTTTGAGGAACATGAAGTGTCGTCAAAAGGAAACTCAGGAAAATCAGTCTCGGCTTCAGTTTTATTACGGAAACTGCGTTGGAGCACCCTTGGCCTGCAATTTGAATGGTCCAAGGTAGGTGTTGGTCCAATTTTTCTTTTCAATCTAGAAAGCCTATCATGCATTTTTACTAAACCAAAGTTGCATGCCGCTTGGATGCCACACGATTTAGGCGAGAATAAATGGAAACTGTACTTTTCAACCTAAAAATAGTTGTTACCCTTTGTAAGCAATGAATAGTTTCTGATATCTATTGGTAAATCAGTTCAATTTGAGACTTTGTTTGATGCATTCGAGTTTCCTCACAATACATATCGAACCAAAAATATGTTCATGGTGTAGCGAAACTATGACGTCTCTCTCCCACATAACAAAATCCCTGATACACTTTGTCAACTGGCTAAAAGACTTGCAAAACCTGCAATGCCTCCGGGTGAAGAGTTCCAGCCTGAAGGTGCAATAGTCAACTACTTTGGCCCAGGTATTGCTACGAAAGAGTTCCTCACCAACGATTTGAATGTTGTTTCTTTTTGGTATGAAGGTATGAACAAGCTAGAATTTACATTTGTTCCGTCTTCTGTTTTTCTTTGTCTAGGCGATATGCTTGGGGGCCACCTTGATGACATGGAAGCTGATTGGAGTAAGCCTATCGTAAGCATGAGGTATCTTTCCATGCCATTTCATTTTTGTTTTTCAATCCGGGTTGTCCATCAAGAAAAAAAGGATATAGAGCTAATAATATACATATCCTTAGGAGCTGAAATGTCTTTCACTTTCCTCAGTTTAGGCTGCAAAGCAATTTTCCTTTTGGGTGGAAAGCTTAGGGAGGATCCTCCAATAGCAATGTTCCTTCGAAGCGGTGATGTTGTACTTATGGCCGGGGAAGCAAGGGAATGCTTTCATGGTAAATGCGAATCTTCACCTTTCTTTTACTCTCGTGTGCTTTCTTGTGATAAACAGTGCGGCTTGCCATTTACCACAACACTTAACTGTGGTTGTGATTTCGTAGGGTATTGTATTTACAGCCTTATAAGGTAACGGCTTGGCTTTCTTGTGTTGCAGGCGTGCCTCGGATATTCACTGAGGGAGAAAATGCTGAAATTGTGCCTCTTGAGAAGCAGTTCTCCGACGAGGAGGATGTTTGTGTTTTAGAGTACATCCAAACTTCAAGAATCAACGTCAACATCAGACAAGTATTCTGAGTTTCTTATTTTCTTTTTCATTGAATTTTTTGTTTCAACGGAAATGAATTTTTGGCGATGGAGAATTGTAAGAGATGGTGCTACACAAGGACGTGGGAGAGCTATATAACTACGACGGGGGGTTGCACCAATGAATGCATGGCTCATTAGAAGTTAAGCAGAAACAAGAGAAAATAAGTACGAATGCAAGCATCATTGATCATCCAATGGAGCAATGCAAGTAGCATTGGTTAGAAAAAGACACTGTTATTTGATTGTCGAATTGAATCGAACGTGTATTATTGGGAGTTATATTTAATTGGGGTCGTTATTTTTTGTAAAAATTCATAGTCAATGCTCCTGCAGTGCAAGGTTATAGCTTTGGAGGCAGATTCTCTGCCCTTCCACTTCCCGTGCTCTCCTGTTTGTGTGGTCACGATTAAGCCACGTTGACATTTTATATTACTATTTCTTTTTGTCTTATTATCTCTATAAAAAATAATATAAAATATTGATGTGGTTTAACCGTGACCACACAAAACAGGAGGCATGGAAAGTGGGAGGGCAGAGAATCTGCCTCCTATAGCTTTCTCACAACTCCATTTTGTAGGTTGTTCTGATGCCAAAGAAAAATTTGTACAATGTTTTTAAGAAATGTTGAAGCTAATGGATGTCAACTGTTTTTTATGCTCAACAGTCTCTGTTCTAGGCGCGAATTAAAATTCATGGAACTCACTTTACCCCATTAAAAATATAAAAAAAATAAAAAATATTGAACTCGGAAAAATAGAGATGTTGACAGTGGGATTTGAACCCACGCCCTTTCGGACCAGAACCTTAATCTGGCGCCTTAGACCAACTCGGCCATATCAACATGTTGGGAGAATGCGCTATTTATATATTAATAAAGAACGAATACACTGCGCCAATCACAAAATAGGAAGATGTCCCACATCATGGAAACATTGATTGAAGCAAATGTTCACAAAGATTTACGCTGAGCTTTGATATTGCCAAGCTTGTTAGTTTAAACTTAAAACTAAAAACTGTAATAAGGTGATTCATGTACGATGTAGGTTAGTAAAGGAGTTTTCATTTAGTCACCATAGTCTTATATGTGTGAGGTTGCTTAAGCACGCCTTAAATTACTCATGTTAGTATGACACTCTACGCATTATAACTGGATACTTATAATATTTTACATAAGTAAATGTTGGGCTAGGAAATAGTTTAACGTTCTTGTGCTATTGTCCAAGTTGTAAGCAACTAAGCACACCTGAAATTTCGCTGAAGTTTTCTTGATATCCCCACTTTTGGTAACGTATCACATCTAAGATTTTTTGTAGATATTTATGTTGACATGATCTTATCTCCATTCTTCAATAAGACCGTCAAAATCAATATTTAACAGCTTGGATGTGAGAACTTTTTAGAAATAGTCAAAATCAATACCTAATATAATTAAATGTTGGTGTGAACACTGAAAATTCCTGAAATGAAAGAGACAAGAACAACGTGCACAAAATAATATTTGTATTTGATGATTTTGGGTTACAATCTCTTTCTATTTTGATCCTCTGATTCGATCTCCGTAAGGTGTTGATTTATGGATGTTTCGTTGATCCAAGGGCCGTCGAGGCTTGATCTTGGATGAACTGTTGGAAGTTTCTTCAAGGGGTTGTGGGCTTGATCTTTGAAGGTGGATTTGAGCGGATCTTCAAGGAGCCGTTGGGGCTTGATCTTGAGGATGAGTGTTTCTTCAAGGGCCGTTAAGGCTTGATCTTGAATAACGGTGATGAACGAATCTTCAAGGGGCTTTTGGGCTTGATCTTGAAGAACGGTTGGATGTATGGATTTGTTGATGTTGTTGATCCAAGGGCCGTCGGGGCTTGATCTTGGAAGAACGATGAACGAAGAACGCTTTCTTCAAGGGCCGTCGGGGAATGATGAACGAAGAACGAAGAAGGCTTTCTTCAAGGGCCGTCGGGGCTTGATCTTGAAGATGGATGATTGTTGATCCAAGGGCCGTCGGGGCTTGATCTTGGAAGAACGATGAACGAAGAACGAAGAACGCTTTCTTCAAGGGCCGTCGGGGCTTGATCTTGAAAGTGGATGATTGTTGATCCAAGGGCCGTCGAGGCTTGATCTTGGAAGAACGATGAACGAAGAATGAAGAAGGCTTTCTTGATTCTTCGGGAACCTGGATGCTTGAGAGCTTCGGAGTTTCAGAGCTTCAGAGCTTCAGAATTTCAGAATTTTGCCTAATGATTTTGGTTCCCCCAAATGAATAAAATTGGCTTCTATTTATAGAATTTTCCAATGCCTAATTTTGAATATAATATTCCAGATGAAATAAGTCGTTTCTGCCAGATGTTGACATGTGTCCTATTTGATGACTTTTCCAACTTATTTCGATTTTTTGTTTAGACATACGCTACGTGTAAAATTTATGTAATACATGAGCGTTGAAACTTTGATTTATCGGTCAACATTTATTTACCGAAATTTCGATGTCTACAAATGCCCCCACTTCAAGGCGCGTCGTATACATGTGCTTGTCATGTGTAGGAGATGTGTTTGGAAGTCCTTTATTGTAGATGTCGATCCAAGGGCCGTCGAGGTTTGATCTTGAATTGGGTTGGAGATTTCTTCAAGGGCCGTTGAGGCTTGATCTTGAATTGGGTTGGAGATTTCTTCAAGGGCCGTCGAGGCTTGATCTTGAAGGTTGAAATTGGACCACTAGGAGCTTCATGTGGTAGATGAGCTTTGGCTTGGGTAGTGGATGAATCGGCACGTATTTGTTTTTTGCGCTTTGTTGACTTTCCACAGCTTTGATCTTGAACTAGGTTGGAGGATTTTCTGGATTCCTCAAATTGTTGATTTTTCACAGCTTATTCTTGAACTAGGTTTTGATTCAAGAGTGGTAGACAATTGATCTTGAATCGGACTTGTGATTTCTTCAAGGGCCGTCGAGGCTTGATCTTGAATTTGGCCGGAAACTTCTTCAAGGGCCGTTGAGGCTTGATTCTTGAAGGTTGACTCGAACACATGGCAAGCAGGCACGAGGTGAAGGTGACGACTTGTTGTTTTGTTCAATCTTTCTAATTCACACCTGAGCAGTTTGGTCAGCGGTATGATCTTCAAGATTGATGGGTTTTTCTTCCAGTGGGTGACTTGATCTTTAAGGTTTGGATTCAAGGGTGGTGAATTGGCAAGTGCAGCCCGCAACGCCTGGCGAGTCGACCCAAGAATTTGAGGGTCAAAACGAGTCCTCCACCCAGAGTGATTGCAAACCTGATGATATGAGATACTTTTGATTTTGAAGAAGTAGCGGATGAATCGGCACGTGCTTTGTTGTGCTTGTCTCCACATGCCTCAATGTATCATTTTTTCTTGTCTTATCTATTCTTCTGGCAGAATGTAGCATCTTCTCGAGTTCTTCAGCTCAGACTCCTTCTACTGAGTTGACTGTGCAGGTTGCATTCTTCTCTGCTTGTTTCTTCTGCATGTTGTCTCCACATGCTGCAAGGTATCATTTTCACTTGCCTTATCTGTTCTTCAGGCAGATGTAGCAGCTTCTTTGGAAGTACAGCAGCAATGGGAGACGAGTACTCGAGAGCAGTGCTAGGTAGGCAATCAGGGAAGGGTTCCAAGCAGTCGGTTCCTTACCCGAGTTTGAGTGGAGGTTCCGGCATATTGTTTTCTTTATCCTTGTCTTTGTAGGTAAGAACAAGGACAAAGGAAAGGACAGGGATGACGGAGCTGCTGGAAACGACGTGTCCCGTTCAGATAAGCCTCCTGCTTCCGCCGGAGGATTCGAACGCGACGACAAGGAACATTGTGATTATATGCACCATTTTTGTGGCGGAGCTGATTTCCGGCGTGCTTTTCTTCTGGGCATTTATAAAGAAGTACATCAAGTACAGAGACATGGCTCGGACTCTGGGTCTCGAGTTCCTCCCCACCGGGGGCCCAAAGCGGTTCTCGTACGCTGAACTTAAAGCCGCCACCAAAGACTTATCGAACCTCATCGGCAAAGGCGGGTTTGGAGATGTTTACAAATGCGTGTTAACCGATCAGCGCGTGGTGGCAGTTAAGTGTTTGAAGCATGTCTGGGCGGAGGTAACGATTATTGCCCAGATGCACCACCTCAACTTGGTCAGACTTTGGGGCTTTTACGCGGAAAAGGGTCAACGGATCTTAGTCTATGAGTACGTCCCAAATGGATCCCTCGACAAGTACCTCTTCCAACCGGGTCGGGTTACGCCGTCAGACTCGGTGGAGGAAACGGGTGTTCTGATCGATGACAAGCAGAAATAGAATCGTGGATGCCATTGCTGAGCGCTGTGGGCCTAGAATAGCCGGGAGAATAAGACAAGCTGAAGCCTGGGCTTGGATTTGTGGCTGGGCTCATCACGATTTCAGGCCCCAATTAAATGATTGCTGCACCTTCTAGATTTTCTAGCCCAATAATTTTGATCCATCCGCTTCCTTTTTATTTATTTACTTATTATATTTTATTTTTTTAATATATGTATATATATATATATATTTTTTTTTTTAAGTACATAGTAATCACATATGTATTTTTTTTTTTGTAATGAAATTGACTTTCATTAATAAAACCCTTATTTTTATTTTGATGTGACTGAACTCAAAATTGAATATTCAAGCTGCTTACGTACCCTTCCAAAGAAGAGATCAAGTCTTAACGTAGTTCGAATAAGTGATGAATTTAACAGTGATTTTGATGATTTTGCCGTACACAGTTTATGCTCTTGTGGGCCAGGAGCTTTGGTGTTGCCTTTTATGCTCGTGCTGACCAGGAGCATTTGGTGCCGTGTTGCAGTTTCAGCTCGTGCAGGCAAGGAGCGTTTGGTGTTGCCTTTTATGCTCGTGCAAACCAGGAGCGTTTGGTGCCGTGTTGCAGTTTCAGCTCGTGCAGGCAAGGAACGTTTGGTGTTGCCTTTTATGCTCGTGCAAACCAGGAGCGTTTGGTTCGTGCAGTTTAGGCTCGTGCGAACAAGGAGCATTGGTGAATTTGTCAAGCAATTTTGGAGAGGCGTTCCTCACAATCTTCATAGCAAGAAGCCTTGACCGAGTGATTAAAGAAGTCTTCAGGAAAGAAGCGCATCGTGATGGCAACAGACGATCTTTGTGTCGTAATTTTATCATCTTCAACACGTTCACGTTGCTTTGAAGGTTGACAAGAGCTGCTTTGCCCCCTTTCCGATTGGCGAACTTGTGGAGGAGACGTATGCTTCTTGTGCAATTTCTTAGGAGTGACTTGAGTCCATCCTTCAACTTTGTTTGTCTTGGAGGATGCCCCCGGAGGTTGAGGTAAAAACTTTGAGTAGGAAGAGCCAGAAGTGATGGTGGTAT